TTATGCCTCTGTCTTAGGAGAGAGAAAGACAAGAATGGTTTTTCCAAAAGTCGTATGACCGTACCTTTACCGTCAACAACGGCTGTAACGCTCAAAATTTGTTTTTCGTCACCCATTATCACTAAATTATTACAGTAGAGCTAATTATTATTTTCACAATCTTAACTTAATTGTCAACACAAGCACTGTTAACTATTGCGTCATTGTTTTTGTCGTAAACATAAAAAAATCGCAGTGCGCATGATCCGCAAATAAATTGCAGACATGTGAACTAGGCTTTAATTTGAAAAGCAAAATTACGAAAACATTGCGTCAGTACCACTGTTCACTGGTTCCAGTAACTGCCAGTGATTGCCGAAAACCCCCAATAAATAAGGAATAACAATTTTTTTTAATAGTTTAAAACCTCTTCTTTTAGGTATAAAAAGTTTGAAGTGAATAAAATAAATTTTGTAATAAAAAAAATATTTAAGAAAAGTCACTGAGATGTGGTACCAACCGCTTAACTTGACAAAAAAATTAAAATGATCGGCGGAGGGCTGTTTGCAAAAAACCACTTTTATTAATTTTACAGAAAACCTACTTAACGAATTTTTGTTTATTTTGACAAATTTATCAAAAGATTAACCCATTAAAACTTAAATGCCCAACCCATGATACAGGGTGCCGTGACCATAAAAGCGTTATATAAACATAATAATAATGACAATAACGCCAAATAGCGTTTCAAAATTTTAAATTACATTGTAATGAATAATTTTAGTCATTTTATTTTGTCGTTCGCTCATTCCTTCTGTTATTAATACACTTTTCTGACACTATGAAAAAATTTTATTTTGTCATTTTAGCATTTATTTAGGGGAGAGGGCCCCAAGATAGACATAGTTTTGATTTTGTGCTCTAACATTCAAACGTTTTAGGATATTTAAAAATGTTGCATACCGTATGAAATCACAATAAATAAGGTATCCTTTGGTCATTAAGAAAAAATTTTAATTGCAAACAAACATTTTTTAAAGAATTTTTTCAAATTGTTGTAAATTTCGATTTGAAAAAAGTGTCCGTAAGATGGACACCTTCATAAAATGTATTAAAAAACGTGTAAAAAAATATCAAGTAAGGATTTTTAAACCAATTTTCTGTTTCTTTATTATATTTTTTAAAAGTTCTAACATTTTTTAAATGGTAAAAATTAAATAATATTGTAAGACAATTAATTAATTATCCAACCTAATTTATTTAATTTATCATTAATTTAATAAGAGATTAGTTATTTTATAATTAAGTAAAAGAAATTAACAATAAATCCAGCTCTAATCTGAATTGTCTGAGTTACAATTCGGAAATTCGTACCAGGGTCTGCAGATTTTGGCGCACTTTAAGTGCACTTCTCTCTGACAGTTATGGCACGCAATCATATTCTCTGTTGATAACAACACAATTTCGAAGTAGAAATAGAAAAAATTTCAATTATGAAGCTTAGAGCATTATTAAGAAACTGTAACATTGAAAATAAATAAAATTAAGAAGTGATGTCTATCTTAGGGCCACCGGACTGTCCATCTTAGGACCAATGACCCCATTTTTTTGGCGCAAATAAAAATTATTTACAAACACAGTGTCAACCGAATCATTTTAAAATACTATTATACGATAAATAAATGAGGTTATTACGATATGGGGCCGTGCACATAGTACGTCACGCAGCTAGGGGGGGAGGGGGTCAGAGATTTGTGACGAAATGTGACATAGGGGGACGGGGGGGGGGTAAGCTCGACTGTTACGTCACACTTTTTTAATGTCGTTTTATTTATTAATTCATATTTTTCCCCTATTTTCTATTATTTGTTTATTAAAATATACTTACTAAAAAAGGAAAATTTAAATAAAAAATAACGGTTTTATTGTATAATTATTAACTAGATTTTGAGAAACGAGAAAGAGTCAACTCACTGAGCTTGTCTAAACTTGCGTAGCTTTTGATCCCACTTTACGTCCTTCAAGATAACAACGACTAAGAAACTTCATGTCCATGAGCTCCCTTTCACTTTTTATAAGTAAACGTAGCACAGTAGAGTGAGAAGTGGTGGGGAGCTCACAGACGTGGACTTTATTAGTGTGATTTCTTCCGACGGAGACATGGTAGGAGTGAAAGCTTCTCGCAGTTTATTTTGACTGAGTTGTGCAGAAAATACTGTGTATTTTTCGCGTCATTAGTTTCATTGATATAGTTTTTATGTAGTTCTTTAGTTTTTTTATACATGTTTTGAATTATGAGCAAATCGGGATATTTATATCCTCGTCTTTACGAGGCTTACAAAAAAGCACACGCGGAAAAATCAAAACAAATTTTGCAATTTGAAGCAAATGATTTGTGGTCCACTTTAAAGAAGAGTGAGAATGTTGCTAATGCCGTCGAAGAAGAAATAAAAAAATTAAATTGTTTATCAACCACCAAAAAGGCAAAAGTTTTAAATTATTTCTCAGGGATATCATCCACAAACAAAGGTGAAACAACTAATTTTTGTCCATCTACGCATCAAGAAAAGTTAACAGACTCGAATGCTTCTGAGGTAAGTAATAACCTAACAATTAACCATTTTTGTTACCAATTTTGTAAATTTTTTTGATAAACATTAAAATCTTTAGGTAAACAAGTTTTCAAAACGAACGGGATCTGTCATTGGTGAAATTCAAAATAAAACTCTTATTTCTTTATTTTTACTATCCATCAGAATTTTTTTTGAAAGATTTTTTTATCATACACGGAAAAATGGATTGTTCATATAGAACAAACAAATCTTATTTTGTTATTGTATCAAATTCAGGATTACTATAAAAATCTGATTTTGAAATTCCATGACTTTTCCAGGTTTTCCAGGTCTAGTTTCAAAAATTTCCAGGTCAATTTTACACATGAATTTATCGTATAAATATCTAATTATTTTATTAATTATTGATAAATTTTTAATTCATTTTCTATAAATACACAACCAATCAAAATATTTCAAGATCATCCGTTTTTTAATTAATTAAAAACGTGAAATGTATGGAAACTAAACATATTTTGGTTATTTTTTTAAAGAATTGAAGAAATAAGAAAAAAGAACTTGAAAAAGACATTTTGTCAATATTTTATTCAAATATTTTTTTGAAAAAGTATCATTTTAAATGTTTCATAAAAAATTAGATGACTTCTAAAATAATAAATGCTTTTTCATTTTCTTATGAAATTAATTTAAAGTTATTTTTTATAGAATAAAAATTATTTATAACCTTTGAACTATATAATTTTTTCCTAAAAATTGCAAAGCGTCAAAGTTTTGAAAAAAACTAAAAAAACAAAAATTAAAAAATCTGAAATCATTTCTTTTAACAGAAAAATGATTTTTAAAATACTAAAAAAAATTTGAAATTTTTACTTATAATTTGGACAACTTGCAATTTTAAAAGAAAGTTACTTGTTAAGGGGGGCGCCTACTTTAGAATGTAAAAAACTGCGTACATTTCAGGAATTTTTTTCTCAAACACATTTAAATAAATCGATGCGAGATTTAGTGTATGTTTTCTTATATATTTAAATCTTTGAAATATAATTTTTTGATTAAATGAAAATAGAATTTAATAATAAAATAAACGCCATATATGTAACGTCTCGCTGCTGAAATTTTCCCATTGCGTACAACCTAGGGTCCACAATTCTTATCCAAAACAAAAAAACAAAATTTTTTCTTTAAATATACATTATTGCCTTCTGTATGAATTAAAAGATTTCAATAGAAAGTAAAAACTGACATTTTTACATGACTTTTTAAAAAAAAATTTAATTTTCGCCAAAAAAAATCTCATTTTTTCTTTAAAAAAAAGCACTAAATTTAACTCTATCAAAAACAAATTTAATTCATACAGAAGAGACACTTTTTATCTTCAAAACAAGCCCAGGTAGACCTTAATCGGTTGAATAGATTTTTGTCTATCGTGTACGCAAACTACAAAAACAGTGTTTTGAGAAAAACGAGTTTAAAGATTGAAAAACATGTAAGTGCTGTTTTTTAAAAACTTACGGCAGTCACAGGCCTCGATGAACGACTATTTTTTTATGGGTAGCTCTTAGATAAGACGACATTTTACTGATAAATGGTAATTTTAATGGTAGATGTAATAGTAGATAAGCGCAACAAATTATGAAAAGTATTAGAGACCGCGAGTGGATTCGCGCGCCAGGCCACGCGCTTTATTGCGTTCTACAAGCTGTAACTCGAAAAATACTTTGTATTTTGACATAATATTTTAAGAGCATATTCTCTGATAGTTGTACTTTCAGTTAAGACAACTTTTAAAAAATCGATTTTTTTGACCCGATAAAGTAGGCGCCCCCCTTAATGTTTCTCATTTTATATAGAAAAAAAATAAAAATCAATAATAAAAAATAAAATAAAATAAAAATACTATCGAAATATAAATCTAAGAACATAAAGAAACATTAAATATTTTTGAACTTATTTAAATTTTTAAGGAAAATTGAAAATGACAATTGAAATTTGTAAAAAAAAAAATCTGTCAAAAACAGGGAAATTTTATAAATTCCTAGAAATTCATTTATTTTACTTCATAAAACCTGATAAATTAAAAAGTATTATTTTTTCATTATAAAATAAATAATTAATTATTATTTAACGAATATTCAAGTTTTTCATTGATAATTTAAAAAAAACATTTGAATTAATAAAATTCCAGGTCAAATTTTAAAATTCCATGACTTTTCCAGGTTTTCCAGGTCCTGTAGCAACCCTGATTAAATTCTTTGTTTTATGAATAATTTTGTAGTTGAGAAATATTTGGTTTTTTCTTTTTCCAAATAAAAAATAATTGCAAAATAAAAAATGTTGCAATAATAAATCAGATGTGTTAGTTCTATATTAACAATCATTTTTGTTATAAATAATAATTTCTTTTTCTCGGTGTAAATATAAAAAAACAAATCGAAATTAAAATTAAAATTTAAATGCAGTTTTTGGTTAATTATAATTTCTTTTAACCTTTAATTAAATTTAATTTCAAAAATAAAATAAAATTTAAAAATATATTTGACAGGTTGATATTGCAACTGCAGTTGACGAAAATCAAACTGCAAATCTATTGAAAAAATCTCGTGAAAAGCCATCGCAGGAATTATCCCAAAAAAAAGTCGGCGTACTTGAAAGTCAACTAAATAGTTTGATCATGGCACGTGAATCAGGCCTAGAATCAGACGACACGAATGAAAAGATCAAAGTTACGAAGAAAGCTTTAATAGAAGAGAAAAAAGTTTTAAAGCGGAAACAAAATGATGCTGAACGTCAACAAAAATTGCGCGATTCCAAAAAACAGAAAATGGCCGAGTTATTAGAGGAACATCCTGAATTGGCAGGGAAGTTAAAAATTCGCGATAAAATAGGAAAACCAAGAGTCGAAGATAATCAAGCTGATCTTCTTAAGGTATGGTACAAACTTTCATGTATACGTAATTTTATATTATTTAAAAAGTCTAAAAATTGCGAAATTTTCAAAAACTAAAAATATTTTTATTTATAATAATTTATACAAATTTTGCAGACAATAACTGACATTGCCATATTTGGAGGAGCCGCAGATGACAGACGTCGATCTGAAAAAATTCGCAGTTGTCGTACATTATACGATCTTCACGCCGAAATGCAAAAACTAGGATATCAAATAAGTCGCTCTGCGTTGTATATGAGACTTCTTCCAAAACGCTCAACAACGATTGAAGGAAAACGCCATGTTGTGACTGTTCCGGTGAAGCTTTCCAGACCTGAAGCGGATCATCATGCAAATGATGTTGATGGCAAATTTTGCACAGCAACCATGCGATCTTTAGAGTCCTTGGCATCAGTGCTCGGTCCAGATCAGGTGTTCTTTCTATCACAGGACGACAAAGCTAGAGTGCCATTGGGAATCACTGCTGCTAAAAAGCAGGCTCCCATTCTCATGCACGTCGATTACCAAGTTCGTTTACCCGACCATGATTTTGTTGTTGCTGAACGTCACAAATTTATTCCTTCAGTGTACGCCTGCATTGACATTGCTAGAGATGGAGAAGGGCAAAGCTCAGATGTTTCATACTCGGGACCCACCTACATCGCAATTCGCAGTGGAAAGCACTGTTCATCCAATGCCAAAACGCATGCTGCAGATTTGGACAGACTTATCGAAATTCCAACTTTCCAAAAATTTGCAAAAACTGAGGATGATTCAGTAAAGCCGATTTTTATTGTAACCTGCGACGGTGGCTCAGATGAAAACCCTCGTTACCCTCGAGTCATCGCTGAAGCCATTAAACATTTTTTAAAGTTCAATTTGGATGCCTATTATATTGCCACTAATGCTCCGGGACGTAGTGCATATAATAGAGTAGAGCGACGCATGGCACCACTGAGCAAGGAGCTCACTGGTTTAATTTTATGTCATGAACATTTTGGGTCCCACCTTAACTCAAAGAATGAGACAGTTGACGAAGAATTGGAAAAACGAAATTTTGAGCACGCAGGGCGTGTTTTGGCTGAAGTCTGGAATTCTATTGAAATAGATAATTTTCCCGTCGAGGCGGAATACATCGGCCCGGAAGAATATCCAGCTTCAACTTTGCCTGTAAATGAAAAATGGTATTCAACGCATGTTCGCGAATCTCAATACCTCTTGCAAATCGTGAAATGCAACGATGAGAAATGCTGTAGTCCTCGACGATCAAGTCTCTGGAACATTCTGCCTGACGGTTTTTTGCCGCCTCCAGTGCTTGTTAAGCAAACCCCTAATGGATATATTACTGTAAAAAATACGGACAACGAAGGCAAATTTTGTCCTCTTCTTCTGCGTATGGCTCTTCAACTTCAACCTCAAACTGAAGAATTTGCAATTTTACCGTATGACTACTACTGTCCCAGTCTACAGTTTTCGCTCGAATCAAGGTAATTAAAAAAATTATATTTTGTAATTGTTAATTTAATTTATTATTCTATATTATTATTGTTTATTCAACAGGGTTTGCAATGTTTGTGGGATTTATCGTGCGTCAAACAGAGCAATTATCAAGCATATGCAAACGATGCATAAAAAACAAAATGAAAAGCCTGACCCGGAAAAAAATTCGCACAGAAAGAGTTGCAGCACGAAGAGCTAAGGAGCTTCTGTGCGTCTACAAGGAAGATTATTATGCCCCTGAAGAAGCCATGTGGATAGATGAGGATGAAGTGGATCATGATTGTATTCCCGAATTTCCCGAAACGAATACCAAAGGAATGCCAGTGGTACAAAGTATCAAAGAGTGGTGTACTTCTGCTTGGTCAGAAGAAAAAACGCGATAAATATATCAATATAACAAAGCAAATTATATTCCATGATCTCAATTAATATAAATAAAAAGAGTTTTAAGAACCTTAAATTATTCATTCATAAATTTCGAATGATACATTTTATGCATGCTTATACTGTACGTCTAATATTACGTACACCAAAAATTTAAAGGTGTGACGTGACTTTATAGGGGGAGGGGGGGTTTCAAGGTTTGTGACGAAGTGTGACATGGGGGGAGGGGGGGTCTAAATTGGTCAAAAATCGCGTGACGTACTATGTGCACGACCCCTATGCACATATATATTCGAAATCAAAAATATAGATAATTTTACCGACTGAAATAAAAACTGTTACAAAAATTAAAGCATGTATCATACACAGGATTTTTTACCCGCAATCAACCAATTACAGAAAATTCTTTTAAAAAATCTTTAAAAGAAATTGATAGAGATATTCAAAAGTAGAAACGTTTCCTTTGTACAGTACAAAATATAACAAAAAGTGTTTTTTGAAGTTAGAAAGAAATGAGCCAACTTTTGAATTCTGACCTTTGATTTGGATTGACGATTCCGGTTTGCGGGACAATCTTGAAAAATATAAAGTTTAGATTACATAAAAAAGTACTTACCAAACCTAGGAGGAATTCCATTGATTGACATTTTCTTCTATGTTCTTTTTTTTCTCGTTTGTCACTACAGGATCGGCTGCTATTACTTTCTGCCGATACGGCTTCACAATAACGAACAAAATCTAAATCTATGTGATATCCATAAGGGCAACATATACACTTTGCGCAGATGGTGGTAGATAAAGAGCCATTATTTTTCACTAAAATAAATAAAATAATATAAATAGCAAGAAATTTTTCAGAAAAATTCGACAGAACATATATTCCCCAGGCAGCACCGTAACTTTTCCGAACCTTGACTGAGCCGCACAAGGCGAAGTTCGGAAGCTTGAGTTGCGAGGTTTATACAAGATTCTGTCAATACTTAAATGGCCGCACATTAGTACTGTTGAGAACTATGGTGGTCGAGGGTTCGAATCTCAAAATCAACCCGTCGGAAGAAAACTCATTTTCTTTTCTTTTTTTTATTAATATTATTTTATAAATTAATAATATTAAATTTATTTTTTTATTAATGATTTATTAAATGCAATATTTACTCAAGTTCTGCGCCCAAACTTCAATATGTGTGGACATTTAAACATTGACAGAACCTAGTATGAACCTCGCAACTCAAGTTTACAAACATCGCCGTATGAGGCTCAGTCAAGGTTCAAGGAAGTTTCAGTGCTGTCTGGGTCGCTTCCCTAGGGTTTTCGAGATAAAAGCGTTTGTTTCACATATGGTGGACGCACAATGTTGGTGCCGCTTTAAGTATCCAGATAGCAAGAATAGATGCACATTGTTAGACTCGCTCGCGTGCGGATTAACCTGCACGGCGTGACATCAATTGAGCACGCAGATGCGTCCTCATATATGACGCACGACGTGTGTATCGCACGCGTGATGTTGAAACTCATGTTTAGTGTATTTAATTTCTATCAGAAAAATTTATTAAATTTTTACCCAGGTGCAAATTTAAGGTTGGCCCAAAGTTAACACAACTTTACGTGCCAAAGTTGGTCCAACTAGCGGAATGATAACGGGCAGCCGCTCAATGGGGTCAATGGTTGGCCCAACTACTTTTCCCAAAGTTGGGCCGACCTTTGTCAAAAATGTAAAAATTATTAATTATACTATAAACATATATTGGATGTTGTCTTAAAATCATCATTTAATTATTGCATACATATCAACACTAAACGCAATCTTATACATACATACATTTTAAAAATATTTATAGCTCGCAAGGATCGAACTCGCAACCAAACGCACCGAAGTCTAACACGCTATCCATTATCCTATGCTTACATGAGATTCTAAAGACAAAAATGATTTTATAAGCTCCAACTTCAGAAAAATTCAGTTTGTAACTCATGATGAAAAATAAATCAGATAACCCTTGTTATTTTTTAGTTAATCTATTTTAATTAAAATAAAATGTCACAAAAATTTTTTATTTTTACAATGAATGTAAAGAAAACTTTACATTTTGCGAAGAGCTGTCCGGTGCAAAATCCCAAGTGCTTGACATGTGCTGACTTGGAGAAGACTGAGACAGACCATTTAAGTGGAAGAATTTCTTGCACGGTTGACAGGGAGGAACTGGAAAAGCTTAAAAGGGCAAATCCTTAATGCTTCTTCAGGTCAATCTGCATACAAGTAAGGATGAACAGGTCCTCCTGATGCAAACAGCCAGGGAAAATGAGACCGATATCCTGTTCTGCAGTGAGCAGTATCGAGGAAGTGATCTCGCTCCCTGGTATCAAGACAAGGCGAAGAGAGCCGCCATCAAGGTGTGTAACCCAGAATTTGCGAGTTGACAAGTTCCTAGTGACGAGCAGTGAATTTGTTTGGGTGGAGGTGGCTAACATACGTATGTATAGCTGTTACTTCTCGCCAAACGATCCACTGGCAGACTTCGAATCCGATATACAGAACCTGGAATCGAGCCTTCGAGAATCCAAGTTGGATGTTCTCGTCACTGACGACTTCAATGCAAAGTCTCCAGAGTGGGCAGAGACAAGGCTCGATAAAAGAGGAATTCTGACCGGCGAAATAATCTCCAGGAACGACCTTGCAGTTGCAAACCGGGGAAGAACATGGACGTTTAGAAGAGATGCGATCGGATCCATTATAGATCTAACGATCGCATCCTACATAATATTTAGCCGCATATGCGACTAGCAGTTCTCTGAGGATTATCCCAGCAAACACGTTATGTATCAGGTAGATAACAAATAGGTCACATTGTTATGTCACTCTGTAACATTATTTAAATGTAACCATTATATAATGAGAATGAAACGCTGTGATATAATTCTGTTATTCTATGGTGATATAATTGTTACATAATTTGTATACGTATATGTTATATAACAATATGATATATTTATTACATCACAATGTGGTAACTTTTTGTATGTCACATTGTTCTTTAATTGTTAGGTAACAATTACACAGCCCCACAAAAAAAAAGTGTCGTGCGCGGCAGACCAGACTAGTCATTTCCCATGTATTTTGACGCGCTGAACACGAATCCGAAGTCCGTTTTGCTCCATCACGTCAGGATTTTTTTCTAACCTCCAAAAACCTGTCGGATTTTGAGAGGTAGGCTATTTTTTTAAAAAATTGATGGATTTACTTCAAAATTGGTATCTAGGGGTTTTTTGGGTCGCTGATGACGAATTTGAAGTTAGATTTTCAAAATTCAAAATGGCGGCTCCAATATGGCGGACGAATTTTGTAAAAAGTGATGGATTTACTTCAAACTTGGTATCTAGGGGTTTTTTGGGTCGCTGATTACGAATCTAAAGTTAGATTTTCAAAATTTAAAATGGCGGCTCCAATATGGCGGACGATATCGACCCTTCAAAGGTGATAATTCCGCCCTTACACACGAAACTAGGAGCAATTAAACAGTTTGTCAAAGCCTTAGATAAAAAAGGAAACTGTTTGAAATACCTGGAACAAAAGTTTCCAGAAATCTCTGATGCGAAACTAAAAGAAGGGGTTTTCGACGGACCACGTATTCGCAAATTGTTAAAAGATGAGCAATTTATCACCAAGATGAATAAAAAGGAGAAAGCCGCATAACTTAGTTTTAAAGCAGTTGTCGAAAATTTTCTGGGTAATCACAAGAGTGAAAATTGGGAGCAAATAGTTAGTGATATGATTAAAAACTTTGGTAAGTTAGGATGCTAAATGAGCATAAAGTTGCATTACTTAGACTCGCATCGGGATTAATTCCCTGAAAATTTGGGAGATTACAGTGAAGAACAAGGAGAACGATTCCATCGTGATCTGACAGAATTTGAGCGTCGTTATCAAGGAAGATGGGATGTAAATATGATGGCCGACTACTGTTGGATGCTGAAAAGGGATATTGTACCTGGAGGCACCAATTTAAAAAGAAATCCATTACACAAATCCTTTGAGGACAAAAGAGTGCGCTACCATAAAAAGACGTGAATACCTTACTTATGTATATAAGAATTTTCATTTCTAGTTTTGAAAATCTAACTTCAGATTCGTAATCAGCGACCCAAAAAACCCCTAGATACCAAGTTTGAAGTAAATCCATCACTTTTTACAAAATTCGTCCGCCATATTGGAGCCGCCATTTTGAATTTTGAAAATCTAACTTCAAATTCGTCATCAGCGACCCAAAAAACCCCTAGATACCAATTTTGAAGTAAATCCATCAATTTTTTAAAAAAATAGCCTACCTCTCAAAATCCGACAGGTTTTTGGAGGTTAGAAAAAAATCCTGACGTGATGGAGCAAAACGGACTTCGGATTCGTGTTCAGCGCGTCAAAATACATGGGAAATGACTAGTCTGGTCTGCCGCGCACGACACTTTTTTTTGTGGGACTGTGTTATGAAAGTATGTGACATAACACATGAATATTTATGTTATTTTTTAACCAACATTTTTTTCTATGAGAATACGGGTCAAGTCTCGGATTTTTCTCAAAATTCGTTAAATTGTAGTGATAGTGGTGCTACATAAGTGTACAAATTTTGAATTTGAAATTTTTAATATTTTTCGAGATATTTACAATAACAAATTTGAGCAATATTTTTTTAATTTACTTATAACTTTTTTCCTACTAAAAATAGAGAAAAATGTTGTGAATGTTTTTTACGCAGAAGATCTTAAACTTTTAGAAAAAATTATTTTTAAAAATAATATTAATTTTTAAACACTTTGTTTAAAAAATAAAATTTGTTTATAACTTTTAAACATGTTCTCCCTCATTTAGAAGCGCGAAAAAAATCATGAATATTGTTTAAGTCATAATAAATCGATGGTTTAATTTTTGAGATGGCATTATTTTTTGTTTTCAAGATATTAATTAATTAACTAACAAAAGTTAATAAAAAATGAAATATTTTACGAACAATTAAAATTAGAGTACTTAAAACACCATGCTTATCAAAATCCGCATCCAACGAGCCCTATATGAAATATTTCTAATAAACGGGTGTTAAATTAATAATAATTAATAAAATTTATTTAAATAATTAATAACATTTGAAGAAATGAAGATAAATCGTCAATTCTTTTTTTATTTGGAAGATCATCTAATTCTGTGTCAAAAAAAGAATATTAAGTATTACCAAGAATCAAAAATTAATTATAAAATGTTATTTAGAAAAAGACTGAAAAATACCATGCTGAGTAGGTAGGCAGCCCCCTCCAACTTGTGTCGTAGGGTCTCAATTTTCAATAATCATCTGTTAATAATTTAGATTTGTTAAAAATGTTATTTATACTGGTTTTATTTAACACAGAATTAGATGATCTTCCAAATAAAAAAAATTGACTATTTATCTTCATTTATTCAAATGTTATTAATTATTTAAATAAATTTTATTAATTATTATTAATTTAACACCCGTTTATTAGAAATAGTTCATATAGGGCTCGTTGGATGCGGATTTTGATAAGCATTCTAATGCTGTTTTTAAAATTACTCTAATTTTATTTGTTCGTAAAATATTTCATTTTTTATTAACTTTTGTTAGTTAATTAATTAATATCTCGAAACAAAAAATAATGCCATGTCAAAAATTTAACCATCAATTTATTATGATATCACATGTGATTTTCTGTTATGTAATTGCTAAATAACTATTATATAACAGTGTTTGCTGGGATACCGCATTTGACCACCAGTACATCCAGTTCTCAGTCTCAGTGGGAGACACACGAAG